CTTCATCTCCATCCATAAAAACAGCATAAGTGCAAGTGACAAGGGACTCCACTCATGTGTTTGCACCTCTCCACCACTCTGTACACGCACTCCTTTCTCAGAGTCCAGGCACTGGTGGGGAAACTCCAACGAGATTGACTTTGATTGGTTGCTGTTCCCTACAATGGCAAAGAGGTGCTGACATTTTCATTCTCCCACTTAGTGAAGCACACAGAAAAAGCCAAGGCTGCACAACTTAGTGTGGCCCTTGTCTCCAGAAACATCAGGCTTAAAAGCTTTCGAGACAGCTGTCATGCTGGCCAGTGGGGTAAGCAGCACAACACAGAGAATTGCTTTGCTTTAAGAGCACAGTAGAATAGACACATTTAACCCTACAGATTGAAGATTACCAGATCTATTCCTGTGCAATCCATTCCTATGCATTCCTATCCCTTACTTGGAAGTAACTGCCACCAGGTTCAATGGAGCTTTCTCCCAAGCATCTTTTTCAAGGAGTGCTACTCTAATCTGATTAAATAGTCATTCCTTCTCCCACAGAAAACCAGGGAACTTAAAGGTAAAAGAATCTGTGATAGCAAAGTATCAGAATCTTTGCCAGCCTATGATTCTTCAGATTCTTTGGGAGAAGCTGGAACATGTCTAGAAAAGGGTGATCAAGATGTTAAAATCCAAGCCCTGCAGGGAACAGTTGAGGGATCTGGGTATGTTTAGCCTCGAGATGAGAATGCAGAGAGGTGATACAATAGCCATGTACAAGTATTTGATGGGCTGGCACCTGGAAGTTGGAGCATGCTGGTTTTCTTTCACTCTAAAGGGTAGGGCCTGATGTAATGGATTCAAATTAAGAGAAAGGAGAATATGCCTGAACTTTGGAAAGAACTTCTTGACAGTAAAAGCTGTTCGACAGTAGAACAGACAGCCTCGGAAGATGCGGATTCTCCTTCATTTGAGGTTTTCAAACAGAGATTACATGGTCAACTCTCAGGGATGCTTTGATTACGGATTTCTTATTTTACAGACGGTGATGACTGTAAAATACAGATGACCCAGGGATTTTTCCCAGTCTATAGTCTATGATTCTACGCTATGACACATGAACATGAACATGATGAGAACTTGGATCTGATTTATTTAGTTAATTAGTTAGTTATTAAATTTATAACCCACCCATCTAGACTGAAGTCTACTCTGGGTGGCTAACAATAATAGATAAAATAAAAAACAATATAATAATAAAAATAAAGAAAACAACAATAATAATATAATTCAAGAAAGGAAAAATAATCAGGTGATGACAGGAGGGAAAGCCTGCCTAAAGAGCCAGGTCTTAGGTTTGCTCTTAAAAACCACCGATTACCAATCTGTTTCCTACTTGGACTCTTGGGTATGTTTATAAAGAATGGATTCTGGATGAACAGCACAGGTCTGATGGAATAATAGGTCAATCAGTGCATACAATTTCTTTCTATTTCAAATACTATGCTACAGCAAACAGGTAACATCTGAAAAACACCTGTTTTAAGAGAGAGAATTAAACCAATTGAATTTGAAAATCCAAGATTCAGTTGTATTTTGAAGTAAAGAAGCAAGTGGTGTCATGTGTATGTGTCTCTAAACTTCTCAGCATACACACACATGCACATCAGAGAAAGAACCATAGGGAGGATATAACAGCAAGAAACACACAGAGAGAGTGTCAAGAGATAATTTGTGCTACTTGTGGAAAGTATCTCAAAAGCAGAAAGAGAAAACAAGCTTTCTCCATTGAGATTTACACAGTAAATCTAGGGGAAAAAGTAGAACTGGGTGCTATACGTTTCTGAGAGTCAAACTAAGCAACTAAAGTGAAATGATGCCCTAAAGAAGTAAGGAAACAACAGAAGACAACTAAAAAGAAATCCTTGGCATTTTAGCATTCACACAGACATCTAGTGTCTTCTAAATGAAAGATCTTGGGCTGTGAATCACACTCAATGGCAGAGCTTAGAGAATGGCCATGCTAGTTGGGATCTCTGGTCCATAAAAATTACACTTCTAGACTCTGACCTATAGCAGTGTCTTCCACAAATTAATGAAAGCCTGTGCATGAGCAATGTCTGTTTCAGTTAGTAATGAACAACTTTCTTAGGGTTAACCATCTGATAACTATCTAAAGTTCCTTTCCTTCCACGTGTCTTTTCTTGCCTTGAGCCCAAGAGAACAGCTATGGCACTGTATACCTCCAGGCGCCTACAATGAATGCATCATGCACTCTACACAGCTAATCATAATCATCACCATCACAGATAATCATAATCATCACCATCATCACCATCATCACCTAGAGGAATTTTCATCAGGTGCCTTTAGGTTGCTTAGCCATCAGATTGGGCCCTTTCTTTCTCTCTGGTTTTCAGACAACATTGCCATAGTTCAATGACTGCCAGTTTCCATGCTGCATTTTTTTGACCCCCTCGAATAATATGTTTGGAAAACTCCAGGATTTTGTCCCCCATTTGGTTTTGTTTCGTTTCATTTTCCCTGCACAAAGGAGCAGGCTTGCACTGATCTGCCTCAGCCACAATGGTAAAAGTTAAGAGGTCGGCAAGAGGATGGGTCTAACAGTTAGTGCACATCAATGGAAAGCAGAGAATCCTTATGTCCTCTATATAGTAATGCAGTTTTGTTTCCAGTTGCAAGCTTCTCAGGTCCTCAGTTTCTCCATTCATCTCCATCACTTTGAGAAGTGATCAGAAAGCTAGGAAGAGGAAATGAAATGGGAAGTCTCCATCTCCTAAACAACATGCTCCTTTTAAAAATATGATGATGATCACATAAAAGGGGGAAATGATTTTTTTAAAAAAAGGTTATTAAATTTGAATGTTTGTTTGGAAGAGAGACTGAATGGTGGAGAGAGGACGAACCACTGATTTATTTTACACACATCAGATGCTGAAGAAATTATACAGAAAGAAAGAGTTTTATGACAGATATTCAAGGCAGTTGACACTGAATTACTTCCCTGTGTTACTGTTACATGCTTATTACATTTCTGCAAGGTGGATTGTGGTTGTAATCTACATTTACTTGGAATAGTGGGTTGTACTTCTTGGCAACCACAGTCTTTTCCATGCTGTGTGCTTGCAAACATTGCTGTTTGACAAGATCAACCCCACCATTGCAAAGCAAAGCTAGATAAAGTATGTACATATATTCATAATTGTGCTGTTTTGAAAGGGAACAGTCTCCAGCACGGTTTGTATGCAAGCATGCATGCCTGATTGTGCATTTCCAATGAAGTCATTTTTAAAAATCAGATGGACATAATGAAGGGGCAGGAACAACTGAGAAGTGGGAGTGACAGGGTGTGGCATGACTGGCTGGTACAGAATTGTGGATGCACAAGGACCCAAAACTGAAGCAAACCAGAAGCACAGACACAATTCAGATTTGGAATTTGGACATCCCAATTGCACACTGCCAATGAATGAATGAATGAATGAATGAATGAATGAATGAATGAATGAATAAATGAACGAATGAACGAACGAAGACAGACAGACAGACAGACAGACAGACAGACAGACAGACAGACAGACAGACAGACAGACAGACAGACAGACAGACAGATAGATAGATAGATAGATAGATAGATAGATAGATAGATAGATAGATAGATAGATAGATAGATAGATAGATAAAAGCCTGTCTCAATTTATAGGCATGTGTGAAAACTCTATAAAGTTAAATAGTACCACTGTTTCCCAACACTGTCAAAAGCATACTTTCACAAGCTATATTTGTGACTGTAGAATTTTGTTTATTGGTCAACTACCGGAAAAACTTTGTGGACCTTAAAGTGTCTTATGGTTGCTGAAATTTCTTTATAGAAATATAGGAAGGTGCCGAAGCAGAAGAATATACCCACAAACAATGCAAATTAATTTTACATTAGGTGTATATACTCAGAATGTATATATTTAAACCCAGAGCTTAAAAATAAAGACCCTTGTAACAAGTTCACCTCTTTTTTGCAGTGAGGGTTTAATGGAATTCCATTTCAAAACCAGGATAATGGAATGGGACCTACATTACTCTTATGATGTAACGAGTCAAGTTAACTAGTCAGTTTTAAAGTTTTTTTCTAAACTTTTTAGAGGCATTTTGAAGGGAATTTGCCAGGTTGTGTGCCCTTTTCTTATCAAACCTAAGGGTTCCCCCCTCTACACAAAAAAATAAGTAATAACACAACAGGCCACTTTTAAAACACTGCAACAAGTAACAACAACAAATTATAATTTTAAAAAGTCACTATAATAAGCAATGGGAATACGTTCCTTTTACAAGATAGTTTCTTAGGCCTGTTTAAAATATAATGATAGATCACTGGATTTTATGCTTGTGAAAATTAGTTTCACTTTCAAGGAGATCAGCCTCTGGGGGGGGCTGAGGTTTCCATTCCCTTCTGTATCCATTTCTTCACTTTCAAGATCAGCCTGTGGGGGGGTGAGGTTTCCATTCCCTTCTGTATCCATTTTTATTTGAAGTATTTTCTTAATTAGCTGTCGTTCTAAAAATCTCTTGGCCAATTTTTAAATGATTTTATTGTTATATCACTTATTCTTTATGTAGATCGGCTCCTTTTTAATATGTATTTCACTGTTGCTGTATTTGGATATTCTGTTATCCAAACGTTACAAATAAGTAAGTAATTAAAATCAGATTGGCTCCTTTTTAATATGTATTTCACTGTCGCTGTATTTGGATATTTTGTTATGTAAAGGTAACAGAAACGTTACAAATAAGTAAGTAATTAAAATGTGCAGAAGCCTTAGCATTTCCCACAATTTTGACTTTATCTTAGACTTCAAAGAAATAATCCTTTATTCAATCATAAATCCCCATCCCACCATTTTTCAAATGATCCCTTTTATCTTATTGTGTCTCCAGTCTGCCTCACATTCCGTAAGATGTCCCAATGTTGCTTCTACAGGGATTTCAAAAGAGAGATGGCCTCTCACCTCTGCTGAAGATGATGCTTTCATAAGGTATCTTGTTCTTGGTCTCCAGGCTGGAGCAATTCCAGCGCTGATCACGGAACTGGTGCTGACACTCATGGATAGCAATCTGGATACCTTGAATGGCAGAGGCTGTCACATCAGGATTCCGCACACACACCTCCATCTGTCGCCGGGTTAGGCCAGGCAATGTCAGGCAGACTGTGTTGGCATTAAGCACAGGCTCCAGTGGCAACTTCAGCCCCAGGATTTCATTAGAGAAGGAGCTGGGAAAGTAAAAAAAAACACAGATGATCAACAACAACATCACCATATCCTCCCAACTGTATTAGTTCCGGCATATTCCAAGAGACAGAAGATTTAAAAGCTGCACAGAGAACAAACATACCTACTATGACTTATGTTTGAAACTAACTTTGCAAAGTCACAGGAAAAGTTTTCAGTAGTGTGTGTATATCATCTTCCTTGATAACTGTTTCCTGCTCCTAAAGGTAGGAGACTCCAGAATGAAAAATGTTTGAGCTGTAGTTTCCCCACCAAAGAGTTTCCCCACTGGTGGAGAACTTTCCATATTGTCTACCATATTTCGTTAGATTAAGCAATGCAAAATAGCAAACTTGTTCATGACTATAATGTTTTGCAGTTGTTTCCCATGAATAATTTTTCCTTGGTTTAGAAAGATTCTTAAGTTTTACTGACAAGTCTAATACCAGTATAAATCCATACAAGTCTCGACGCCATTCGCAAAATAGAGCGGCAGTGTAAATCTGGAGGGGAAAAAAGGATAAGGGAAAATGCTTACATAATATGTATATATTCTGAAAAACACACATGTAAATATAATATTTTATGTAAACTGGGGGGAAAATACAGCCCAGTGTGGAACATAGAAAGGCACATACTAAAAGTGGAGGAATCTAAGCAAAAGCAAGCCTAACGGATTTGTCCATCCCTATTAGTGGCACATTAACGTTTTACTTTTTGAAAGAGTCACCACAGTGCTGATCTTCTACACCAGTGGTTCTTAACGTGGGCAATAATGCCCCCCAGGGGGTGATTTCATTTTTCAGGGGGGCGGTAGAACAAAAAGGGGCGGTGTGGGGGCAAAAGAACAGAAGGGGTGAAAGTTTTCAAGGACTTTTAGTTTTAGTTTACAGAAGAGGTGCCTTTGCAACTATATTGATTTTTAAAATGAGCAAGTGGTGTAAAAAAACCAACAAAACAAAACCCAAGCTTCTTCTCCTAGCATGTTTCCTTTAGAAAGCATAGCAGTACTTTTTGTTCACCAGCTGAACATATTGTACATTTATTTCAAACAGGGATCTGTTGTCTTATGACTATGGATGGTTTGCTTTGTTTTATATTATCCCCCCAGGGTGGGCGGGGGGGGGTAGGTAGGTAGGTAGGTAGGTAGGTAGGTAGGTAGGTAGGTAGGTAGGTAGGTAGGTAGGTAGGTAGGTAGGTAGGTAGGTAGGTAGGTAGGTAGGTAGGTAGGTAGGTAGGTAGGTAGGTAGGTAAGGTATCACCTCAGGGAGGGGGGCGATGATAACTTCCTCAATGGCTCAAGGGGGCGTTTCTTTCAAAAAGGTTAAGAACCACTGTTCTACACTTCTATAATGAACCCAGTATCATACAGTCATGGTCAAAAGTATTGGTACCCTTGCAATTCTGTCAGAAAATGCAACTCTTCTCTCAGAAAATTGTTGCAGTTGCAAATGTTGTGGTACTCACATGTTCACTTCTTTGGCTTGCATTGGAACAACACAAAAAAAAACAGAGAAGAAAAGTCAAATCTGATACAATCCCACACAGAAACCCAAAAATGCACTGGCCACAGTTATTGGCACCCTGTCTAAATTGTAAGAAATAATTGCTTTTCAAGCGTGTGATGCTCCTTTAATTTGTATTTAGACACACCTGTCACAAGTAAGAGGTGTCGGCAATATAGTAACGACACTTGCAACCAGTTAAGATGGAGAAAAGTTGACTCAAACTTTGTGTTGTGTGTGACACTGTGCATGAAGAAAAAATGAAGTGTAAATAGTTGTCTGTGGATTTGAGAGTGAAAAAATTGTGGAAAAACATCAACAATCTCAAGGGTACAAGTCCATCTCCAGAGATCTTAATGTTCCTGCTTCCACTGTGCGCAATATCATCAAGAGGTTTACAGCCCATGGCACTGTAGCTAACCTCCCTGGATGTGGACAGAAGAACAAAATTACTGAAAAATTACAAAGAAGGGGTGTTGGAATGTTGGATACAGAACCCAGATTAACTTCCCAACAAATTCAAGCTGATCTGCAGGCACAGGGTGCTGCTCGCACTATCCGTCGCCATCTGAATGAAAAGAGACGCTATGGAAGGAGACCCAGGAGGACAGCACTGCTGACACAAAGGTATAAAAAAGCAAGACTGGAGTATGCCAAAACTTATGTGAGAAAACCACAATCTTTCTGGGAGAACGTAATGTGGACAGATGAGACAAAAGAAGAGCTTTTTGGTCAAGAAAGGGCATCATGGCACTGTTTACAGAAAAAGAAATGAAGCATTCAAAGAAAAGAACACAGTCCATACAGTCAAACATAGTGGAGGTTCAAAGATGTTTCGGGGTTGCTTTGCTGCTTCTGGCACTGGATGCCTTGACTGTGTGAACGGTATCATGAAATCTGATGATTACCAAAGAATGCTGGGGTGCAACGTAGTGGCCAATGTCAGAAAGCTGCGTCTCCACCATAGATCATGGGTCTTCCAGCAGGACAATGACCCAAAACACACTTCAAAAAGCACTCAGAAATGTTTACAAAGCGCTGGAGAGTTCTGAAATGGCCAGCAATGAGTCCAGATCTGAATCCCATAGAACACCCATAGAGAGATCTCAAAACAGGAGTTGGGAGATGGTATCCTTCAAATCTGAAGGCCCTGGAGCAGTCTGCAAAAGAAGAGTGGTCCAAAATTCCAGTAGAGAGGTTTAAGAAACTTGTTCATGGTTATTGGAAGCAATTGATTTCCATTATTTTTTTCAAAGGGGGTGCGACCAAATATTAAGTTAAGGGTGCCAATAATTTTGGCCAGTGCATTTTTGGGTTTCTGTGTGGGATTGTATCAGATTTGACTTGTATTCTCTGTTTTTTCTGTTGTGTTCCAGCGCAAACCAAAGAAATGAACGTGTGAGTACCAAGACATTTGCAACTGCAACAATTTTCTGAGAGAAGGGTTGCATTTTCTGACAGAATTGCAAGGGTACCAATATTTTTGGCCCTGACTGTAGAAATGTTAAAGGTTTATTAAAGGATTAAAATGTAGGTCCTTCCCTTTATACAGGATTCCACTGCAGGTCCTAGTGGTCCAGGCCCCAAACAGAAAGGTTTTTGTAAAACGCACATCTCCTGAATAAATACATTCTGCTTCCACCCTCAAATGATGGTTGTTTATATTCAAAGATCATCAAAGGTACAGAAGACCAGCTCACAAATGCCTGACTGCATTGCATACTTCCATGGCACTCTTTTTCACACTTCTGGCATACATCTGCAGCACTTTTCTTCCATACTCAGATGGATATTCAGAAAAGCAAGACAAGTGTAAAACATCAATCTGCATGCAAGGCACCTATGTTGGATAGTAGCTTCTTCCTCTAAATAATGATCTTCTCATTGCAATGGGTCATAAGGCAGGTTCAAAGTCTAGAAGAGACACAAAGCCATATTCTGCTCTAGCTCCAGATATTCATGTGGTTAAAACAACCAGATCACCAACATCTATATTACAATATGCCTGCAACACTAACATAGGGTATAACCCTGCTGGTAGGATACTTTGCATGAGTTAGAGCTTTCCCTTTCCCTTTCCATTCCCTTCACTCACACCCCATAGTTCTCAGATGCTGCTTTGTCCCTACCAGAATGGGAGTAGATATCTCTGTCTAAAGTTTGTTTATTGCGAAATACAAATCCAGTAGGATGCAGGTCTCTGGCTTGTATCTCCTCTATCAAGCCAGAAAAATAATCCACTGTTTGTTGTAAGATTATTTGGCTTGCTTGTTCTGTGGAGAGATAAACCAGAGAGACAGCTGCTGTTGAGTTAGCACATCACACTAAACAAACCAAAGACCAAAACCGTTTGTAGCAGAAGTAATTAGACAGTGGGAGCCCAGATGCTGGCTCATCCACAGTAAACCAGGGTTTCCAATGAACCCCAGGTTTACTGTGATGCACATATCTGGCCAAGCTCTCTTGCAGGGCCAATATGTGCAAAGATGTCCCATGAGTCCATCCAGCAGGGCAGCCACATAAAGATGAATAAATCATGGTCTTGTTTCTCTTGTTGCCTCAGAAATAATCAGACCTGGAAAGCATAAACTCAGAAATATCCCACCCATTTACTCTGACCAATGCATTTTAACATGAAGAATTCTGAAAACTCAAAAAATGTTCCTGGAATTGTTTTTGTTAGTTAGTTAGTTAGTTTATATTAGGGGGTTCTGGTAAAAGATCACCACCTAAAGTCTACTCAGGCCAATATTACATATTATATGAAATATAATATAAATATTACATCATATGGTCAAAAGTTGGCTAACAATCCATGTAGAAGAAAGGCATTTTGAGGAGGCAGCTATCACAAATAAAAATATAGCAATGCAAGGGGGGCACCCCCAATGTTTTCCCCACTTGCCATTTTTCCACCCAGTGCATATGCCACCCCCAAATCAAATTCCATAAAGGAAGAAACCAGTTAGTGGCAATTTTATTTGGAAGATGGCAGGTAAAAAAAGGTGTGTGTACCACTCCTACCGCCACATCTCCCAGCCATCTTTCTCCCCAAGCAAAGACCACCAGGCTGCCATTACAATGCAATTTGCATTCAGCGTTTGCATCTCATTATGGCAACTAGATTTGTCCTTGTGGGTGGCCTACATCATTCCTTGTAGGTGGCCAACATAGCAGCAACAGTCTAAGCCATGTGGGAAATAGCAAATCACAAATAGCCATCTAAAAATAGGATGTATAAAATGTAAGAGAAGAAAAACTTGATGCAAGAGATCTTAAGCAATCTTACCTATGGGGAAAGTAATTCCCTTCCCAACTGATGACCATCTTGAATTTGAATGCTTTTTTGAAAATTTGCCCCCACCCACCAGAAAATAGTCTTACGTTGCAATCTTATTTAGAAATAATTCCCAGGTATTTCAACAGCACATACTGGTTAGGGTATACGGGAAGGTAGCCTTAATCTTCTGACATATGTTCCATTTCTATTTGTTACT